TCTATTTGCCACAGTGTTGGCAAAGTCCACTTTGGGGGCGTTGCAGCTCCTTTCTGTCTCTTTGTAGAAACCATTCCCAAGAGGCTTCATCTTCACATCCACTTGCAGGGGTGGAAGGTCAGGACTGACTTTCAGATTTAATGAGTGACTGGAATGCTCAGCTGAGGCTTGAAGCCTTGAAGTCTTTCTTGGGGGAAGAAGGCTGCTTGCTGCCTTCTTGTGTTTGTCTCTGTTAGTTGGCTTCACAAAAAATATAGCGTGTTCCCTTTTTTTCCCCTGGAAGCTCATTTCACAGTTCTCTTGACCAGGTGAGAGGTTTTCGTTTCTGAGGGATGTGCGTTTCCTGATGTTGAGGTAAATACTTAAGTTAAAGTATGTAACAGTGATAAAAGGTGTAAAGAATTCAAAGGTAGAGGCAATCATCAGGAAATACCAGTTGTAGAAAAATTCTGCATGACACTCTCCTTCAGGGAGGATGCTCTTTTGGGCAAAGTGCTCCCAACTGAGAATGGCTGGACCATAGAGAAGAAAAGCAGCAATCCATACAGTCATCATCTTCAGTACTGCATTTCTGGTCATCCCTTTCTGAGCCCTGTAACTGACCTGAGAGAGAAAAGTTAAGTCACAAACATTACGGGTGTGTCAAACAGGTACGTGGCTGCCTTGGAATGTGGCCCTCTCTGTCACTTGGGAGGGGTGATGACAGACTGGTTTTGAAAGGAGGGTTATACCAAGCTTTCCAATACCACAGAAAAGTTATTTCTAAAATATCCATTCCAAAAAACGTTATCAAGGTGACTGGATAAGTTCTGAGTATGTGCATCAGAACTTAAAAGCTAGAAAACCAAATCTGTTTCACAGCAAATAACCACTGCTATTCTTAGAATTGGTTGTCACCAGTTGCTTCACATTCAGTTACATTAGCTGTGATACCTGTTTACAAAATGGTTAAAAACACATCCCTTCAAAATTCACTTATTTTGAATTTTTAGGTAACTTAATTTGAAATAACTAAAAGGATTTGTATTCATGGAACACTTGTGCAAGTTCTTTCTGCTTGGTAGAGAGAGGTTTTTTTCTTAATGTGAAAATCATACACAAAAAAATTAATGTATAACATCAATTTCCTGTTTGATATACTCAATTTCATTCTTTCATGAAGTACTTGCAGAGTTCCTGTCTGCAGTTGAGATGTATAAATGGAGCGTTGAGGTCTGAAAAGTGCTTTACAGGAAGACCAATTTCTGTTACAAAACTAGAGAAGCTAAGGTG